TATTTTTTTAAACATGTCTCTGGTCTCAGTTTTGGTTTTATGCCCTTATATTTCCATGCAGATTTTGTTCAAGTGTGTGTTCTTGTCCTTTTTGCAGAGTCGTTTTAATTGACCGTTCAGCGCTTTATAGGCTTCTTCGTTCAGCTCTTTATCACTTTCACTGTTCAGTCCTGTGGCTTTTAAGCTCTTCCTCCCCTGTATTTTAGTCCACGTGGAGTCTGTTATCCATTGTTTCCTTCTTTCTTCTCTATCGCTCTTAATGTTTTTCGCAGCATTATGCAATATGGATTTTGTTTTTGTCCATATGCTATTTGAGGACTCTTCTGGATTTAATGATTGTTTGAGGTCACATAGCTTTTGCATTGTGGCTTTTTTGTACGGATCGTTATATCTTAGATGCCATTTAGTTGTTGTATTTCCTGTTTTTGGACTGTTTCTTACCTTCATGCGGAATTCAGCTGATAGAAATTGATGATCGCTATTACAATATTTTCCTGGATAGGTCTTAACATCCTTAACAGCGCTCCTCCAACGGGTTTTTACCAGTATAAAATCTATCTGATTTCTGTATCTATTTCCTGGTGATATCCAAGTGTATAGTCGTCTTGGGTGATGTTGAAAGCCTGTATTAGTAACAAACCGGTTGTTGTCTATACAAAAGTGTAGCAAGCGTTTTCCTCTGTCATTTCTTTGGCCAAGTCCATATAATCCGACGGTCTCTCTCAAGTAATGATCTTCTGTAGTTACACCAATTTTAGCGTTGAAATCGCCTACGACTGCTGTGATTTCTCTATTTGGAAGCTTCCTAAGCGTCTGCTCCAACGTACTATAAAATGTTTCGATCTCTTCATCGTGAGCTTCGCTTGTTGGGGCATATGTTTGTACTACATTAAGATTAACTGGACTGGCATTCATTCTGACAACAATTATCCGATCGCTGACGGTTATGTATTTTTTTACGGAGGTTTTAATGGCATTATTTACTATCACTGCCACGCCATTCCGAGATTCGTTATCATTGCCGGAGAAATAAATATCATTGCCATTTTTAGACGTATAATGTCCTTTATCCTTCCAGTGGGTTTCAGATAGACCTACAATAGCATAATTGTGTTTGTGTATCTCGTTTTTCTCTACATCCAATTTTCCGGGTTCCAGCAATCCTCGAACATTCCACGTACCAATTTTAAGGGTACTCCATATTTTTATGTTTATTCCAGACTCAGAGTTATCATGGCGTGCCTGGTTTCTCACAACATCATGGCCGGTAGCTCATTTCACACCATCAGCCCCGGACGCTGATTGGCGCCAATTGCTAGTTGGATCGCTCGGCATACTGATATGTTTAGAGGTTATCTTTCATGATAGTTCTTGGGGCAAAGTAACGCAGTGAGGCCCCACTTCCTTCTGCGTGGTAGAAAATAGTTTAGAGTAAGGAAAGAGAATAATGACCCGTCCGCCTTCGAAAACCTAATAGCCAATCGGGGTCGGAAAAACAAGAGTTGGCCAAGAGAGGCCGATAGGAAAGATAAAAGACATTTTACTCAAGACTAGTTGAAGAAGAGTAAAATGTGAAGGTTCTCATGCAGCGCCAGATGCGCTTCATGAGAGTATGAGTATTAGTACACCTTGTGTTCCCGCTCATACATCGGGGTACTGACTATAGGCAGTATAGCTCGTCCAGCATGCTATAGCAAGAAGAAGAGAGTGTACACCATCTCATAATGTAGAAACTAATACACTCCATCTCCATGGCCTGACAAATTTCAAAAGCATAGCCACCTAAAATATAGAATACCTTTGTGTAGTTTTTATTTTTATTATTTAATATAAAAATTTATTTCGTAGAAATCTATTTATTTGTTCTGTTATGTATGATTTTATGTAGGTACTATAAAAGTTAGTTGGAACTTATGAGTTTGATTTTCTGTTATCTTTTTATGATAGGTATATATGCATGTATGTACAATGTAGGTAGTACATATACATAAAATGTTCGGATTATCGGTGCATTTCAATTATCCGTGCCACCGCCGGTCCCGTGAAGCACGGATAATCGGGGTTCTACTATATATATATATATATATATATATATATATATATATATATATATATATATATATATATATATATATATATGTATATAAAGTTTTTTAACTATTCATAATAATATGCACTAACTAAAAACACATACTGATCAACACCAGTATAATACAAAGAACAAAAGTCATATGATTATACCATATTCCAGGTTGTGTGTTACTTAATACAATAAATTATAATCTGTACAACTGTTTTTTAAATCTGAACAAAAATCCTGATAGTAAGGCAATGAATTCTAAACAATTTTATTAATTATCAAAACACTTCTTGTTGGAACACTGTTTGTTTAGTATATAGGAATGTTTTTCAGATTCTATGTGGTCTTTTTATGAAAACTATTTTTACACCTAACTTTTAATTGTTTTTATTTTTATTGTTCATTGTATCCACAGACGTAGACAGAAGAGCAATAACATGGCTTCGCAACATTAGAGCTTGGAAAAATATGAATATTTAACGGCATGCTTAGAATAGGGAAGATTTTGATGTAGTGATCGCAAACCTATGAACTTATACATTCAGTAGTTTTATGCAAATTTTGTTTTCGGTATTAAATGAATCATTTGTTTCCTTTTTATTTTTGATTGTAGTTCCATTTTTAAATTATGTTCTTTCGTTATGATGTATTTGTTTTGGTCATCTTCTTCGTCAGTCCTGACCCCCAGAGGGAGTTTAGTGATCATCGTGATATCGTGTATTGTTTGTCTCCAAAGATCTCTGTCATTTGTTTTAACTCATAAATAGGTCTTTTGCATGTTCCTGTAATTTGGTCGATCCATCTTATTGGGGATCTTCCTTGTGATCCTCGGCTTTCTTGTCTTTCCATGTTTGTTGTGTCTTCTCTCATAACATGTCCAAAGTATTTTAATTGTTGGAGATGTACTTTGCTGGAAAACCATTTGTTGACCGTTAGCTCATTTAAAATAAATTATTTGTTCTGTGATCTGTCCACGAAATTCGTAACATTCTTCTCCAACAAAACATTTCAGTGGCGTCGATCTTTCTTCTTTCCGCTTATCGTACGGTCCAAGATTCACATCCGTATGTCAATATTGGGAATATTAAGCAGTTGATCAACCTTATTTTTAGAGTTCGTGAAATTTGAGAGTCCTTCCTTGTTTTGGCCGTCTTTCCTACGGCGACTTTCTCTATATCACATCTAAGTTGTATTTATTCTTGTAGTGACCCTGTGTTTGTGATCAATGATCCCAGATATAAGTATGAGCTCACAATCTCAAACCGGTCAATCGTAGTTATGTGTAGATGATTTTTATGTAGTCTATCCACTATACTGATCTCTGTCTTTGATATGTTTAACTGCAGACCAAATATTTGACTTTCGTTTTCAACCAATCGTATGAGATCAATTAGCTCTTCTTGACTATTTGCAAGAAGGACAGTGTCATGTTCCATATATATATTTAATATTTATATATATTGTATATTATATATAATATATTATATTTATATTTATATATATATATATATATATATATATATAGGATGACTCCTGTTATGTTTGTATGTCCCGAAATGGTTGTTTGATTCTATTACCGTGTAGTAACGCATAAAATTTACATTAGGTGAATCATATCGTAATTTTCCAGGCAGGGTGATTTCAATCGCAGTGACATTAAAAACAAAAAAATCATTGATGTGCATTGGATCAGAACAGCACTACTCTAAAACATGAGTCAATAGTTCGATGATTCTGTATTTTGGCAAAAGAAAAGAACCATTTAAACGTGTTTTTTGGAAATGTGTTTCATAAAATTAGCCACATCTTGTATCAATAAAAAAGTCCGTATTGACAATTTAAGTAACATATATTGTTATTTACTAGAAAAACACCAAAAATAAAAATAAAACAAATATTTTTTACCTGTACGAAAAATTACACATCTGTATAATATGTTGGCCATTCCATTAAGACAGGTTAAAAATTATATTTAGACACCTAAGTAAGGCCTATAGTAATGCTTTTAAAGAAAGTAACATCAATTTACACCATAATTACATATTAATTACACTTTTTTTCTTTCCATTTCTGTATGAGTTTAATATACACCAGTATAAACATTGCCATCAATCAAGTTTTAATATTTTAACATCAAATTTTTAAAAATTTTATGATGTATTGTACCCTAATTGTATATTTTTAATGTGTGGTATTAATGATTGAGTGTTCAATGCTTACAAAAATATCTCAACGACTAGTAAGTTTCCACTGAAGAATTGTTAAATTATTTTTAAATACTTACATAATTGTCTTTTACAGTGTTCTTGAAAAAAGGATAAAAATATTAAGAAAGCTCGACAAAAAGTCAAAAAAAAGAGTGTTTTTTTACATCCCGGCCAATAATTCTGACTGCAACTAAATAAACTGTGTTGTTTTGTTTATATCGACAGTCAATAATATCCAGTATTTTATATATATATTATATATATATATAGTATATATATATATTTATATATAATTGTGGATCCAGTATACACCTTGTACTGAATGGAATTCGTTTGAGAGTGTATCAACCATTTTAATTGTTCCAGTAGTGTTTTGGTATATGTTTTGGTATATTCGTAGTTCAGCTATAAGTGAAATTAAGTGTTGTGGTACGCCTACTTCTTTTAGTATCCGCTATAAGTGTTGCCATTTGACCCTGTCGAACGCTCTCCGACAGTCTATGAAACAAATGTATAGTGGGATATTGAATTCCCTACATTTTTCTACTATTTGTCTTCTGTTCAGAGGTTGTTCTCGAGTACCTCTACCTTTGGTAAATCCAGTTTGCTCTTGGAGTATTTCTCTGTAGGAAAGTTACCATATCAAAAATCGCTTTTTACTACTATTGACTTTTTATTCTGAACTCAATAATTATTTTCTATTCTTTTTTCAGGTATGTTACCAACAACAATCCTTTCTTAAAGATCGCACCTTTCAAAGTGGAAGAAGCGTTCATAAACCCAAATCTGTACATTTTCCACGACGTTATGGGAGACAAAGAAATTGAAACAGTCAAACGTCTGGCCCGACCTAAATTCCAAAGAGCTACAGTACAAAATTCGGTAACAGGGGAATTAGAAATAGCCCACTATAGAATCAGTAAATCCGCGTGGTTAAAAGAACACGAGCATCAACATATAGCCGATATTGCTCAAAGAGTCGAAGATATGACTGGCCTGTCGATGGCAACAGCTGAAGAATTACAAGTTGTTAACTACGGTATAGGCGGCCATTACGAACCTCACTTCGATTTCGCGAGAAAAGACGAGAAAAATGCCTTCAAAAGTTTAGGAACCGGAAACAGAATAGCTACGGTTTTGTTCTACATGAGTGACGTGCCACAAGGTGGAGCCACTGTTTTTCCTATCGTCGGTGCTGCCCTCTGGCCCAAAAAAGGATCAGCTGCTTTCTGGCACAACCTTCATCCTAGTGGCGATGGCGATGTTTTGACCAGACACGCCGCCTGTCCTGTTTTGGCAGGTTCTAAATGGGTGTCGAATAAATGGATCCACGAAGTAGGTCAAGAATTTAGAAGACCCTGTACACTAGAAAGACCTCCTGAAGATCTACGTGCGTAGGTTACTATTATCGTGGAGTAAGTAATCTCGAAGACTTAGATCTTGTTTCTTGCCAAATATCGTAGTTTTTTACTTTAAGTTTTAATACTTTCAGTTTTGATGCAGTGCAATAGTTTTGTGTGATGCAATAATATATATCTAATAATAGGACAACAGTTAAAAACTGGACATCAATAGTATCCTCTAAATGCCAAGAAGTTTGTTGTTTCTTCTCTTCTTATTGCGCCGTCTACTTTCGAAGGCTAGCGATCCAAATAGCAATTGTAGCTTTGGAAACTGCTGCACGAAAGATTTCTGTGGATGAGCAGTCAAACCATCTCCTCAGGTCTTTCGCCCCGAGTTTTGGCATCTTTCAACTGATCTTTTGCCCTGCATTTTACCTTCCAATATGATTTGGAGTAATTTATATCTTTCACCTCTAAACATGTGACTCAAGCATTGTATTTTCCTCTCTTTGATTATGTTGTTTAAATATGACAAAATATTTTTGATAGAAAAACACGAAAAAAATTTTTAGTTGATTATCTGGATAGAAATTCGTATTGTTTATACTTCGTACTATATGAACTATATACTATATGAACGAAAACTTCGTTCTTTTGAACCCTACTTATAGTCAGGCATACGGTTTTCCGGGTCTTTTGTGAACTATCTTGTGGCACTTATTTGGATTTATAGATTGGTAGCCATGGTGTTTAACTTATTTTTTTACATATAATTCAATTACTTTTTGTGTTAACACTAAGCTCATTATTGATGTCCAGTTCTCAGTTAATGGATACATCATCAACATCCTGTTAGGTGCTGATCTTTCTTTAGGTATCGTAGATACCGACTTATTTTAGACAATTTAATGGGTGCAAGGTTAGTTTTTTTTTAGTAATTAATAACAAGTAATTTTTTAAGCAAAGTAGTTATTGGAATGGAATTTTAACCTCAAACAGATATCTTATCTGTTGTACTATATGGATATGATACCTGTCTGAGGTAATAATTATATTCAAATAGAAGTGTATTTATTAGCACCCCTACATAAATTTTCTAAAATAATTTGGTATCTCTATATATGGTATCTATATATAAATATTTGGTATACAGTCACAACCAGTATAGAACATTTATGGTATCTTCGAAACTCTATTATTGCTTAAATTCTTTTAAAATCTAAAATAGCAACAGTTATTAAAGAGGAAGAAAAAGGACTAAAAACGTGGCTTAGAAAGTACCGCAATTAAACAGAAGAAGTATAAGAAAAACAAGATAGTAAGTTATGTAGAAATGGTTGAAGGAAGTATTGGTACTTGGAGAACGAAAAAGCAGAAAATATTATTTGCAAGTACAGTGAATAAAGTGATTAAATACAACACTAATATTTAAAGTAACTTAAACTTAAAAATAGAAATCATGGATTAAAAGGACTTCTTGTTATAGTGCGTTGGCGAATTATAAGGCCAGATACATCTATCTTTTGCGACATGTAAAAGCTTGCCAGTGTTATTTATGCCTGTCCAGTTCTTTATGTTTCGTATCCACGACCTTTGTTTGCGACCTTCTCCTCTCTTGTCTCTCTTAAAATGACTATATAAAAAAAGAAATATAAACAAAAAATGTCTAATAAACGATGTTGCTAAAAAAACGAAGAAATAAACATTCCTTCGAATGTATCGGAGAACAAAAGAGGAGATGAAATAGTAGTAAAAAGAAAACATACTAAGACATCAACACTTACTACTTAATACTAATAAAAGAGGGAAACTCTAGAAGAATATCCTAAAGCCATATGTCCAAAGTACCAACGGTCTTCTTAGATATATACCAAGATTAAATTTTTTTAACGATGATGTAGAAAGGTATTTTTCTTTGTATTTAGCATTTATTAGTTTTTTATAACTGTGTCCTAACAATATAAAAACATTCTCGTGTCTTGTGTCGAACAACATATCGAATTTTTAGGATATGATAACCAAAGCAAATTATATTTAATTTTTTGTAGACTAGTAGTTTTTGTAATAAATCGTGTATATTGTTCTTTAAAATTTTAAGATTTTTTAATTGTAAATAATACTTACAATGTAATATATTTTTATAGAAATCTGCTTTTTTAATTATTTGTTTCTAGAACTTTTTTTGTTTAAAATAATGTGTCTCGGCTGCAATTGCCATGGGCACAAACAATATTGTATCATTACAATAAGGACATATTACTAATATCTATAGTTAATCTATAAGCCTTAAATAAGAACCTATGACTAAATACTACAGTTTTATCACTGAGTTTTAAATTAGAGGTAAAATAAAATGGAATCTGTTAAATAACTGAATGTCTTTCAAGAAACCAATTCGGCTAAATACTTGATTGAGTGAGTTTAAAATATCTTTAATATTTGACTCTAGTTTTTGTTCCATTCTGTATTTGGCGTACCGAGGACATTCAAAGGATGTATTCCATGGTTATTACACTTGAGCAGCTTTAGCAGTTGGGCTTAGGTTCGGATGTCATTAAGTAGTCATGTGTGATGGGTAGATATGTCCAATTCTTAATTTTGGGATAACTGCTTTTGCTTTTCTTGAGATTGTTGAAAGTCAAAATTTGTTAACAGTCTGCCGGATCTCATGTAATGTACTCTTGATTGAGTTCATGTAATGAACACTTGTGTGGGCCTTTTGAGTATTGACCGTTTACTCCACAACCTTGTTTGGCGGCTTGATTTTTCATTAGAGGTGATGTCGATATGAGATGGTAGTCATATAATAGTGACATTTACACCTTGAGAAGTGAGTATAAATTAAGTCTTGGACGCTGAGTGTATAGACTAAGATAATTATATTTTTCATAACATGTTATAGCGTTTACGCTACTGATGATATTAATCCAATTTAAAAATTGTAATAATAAAACCCTTCAAGAAATTTCTTGTGACACGCCCGTGATCGATTTTAAACCGACATTTTTCTGCACACGCGCGAGGATCGCTTTGGAATTAAATGAGGAATCGAGTTTTACGAGCAGCGATCAGTTTTGGTCAGAACTCAGTACTAGCAGACACGCCGGCCGGTGAGTTTTTCTCACGTTCAAAGTGACGGAGTTCATCATCATTGGCTTTTACAACTCTTCGTGAGTTTTTGCCGCGTTTACTATTGCCTTCCATTGATTCCGATCCTGTGCTATTATTTCCCATGGCCTTACTTCCATCTTCTCCAGGTCTTCCCTGACAGCGTCTTTCCACCTTTTTCTAGGCCTTCCTGTCGATCTTTTACCATCTGGTCTTTCCCAAAACACATTGCTAATCAGTCTGTCGTCATCACTCCGTACCACGTGGCCTGCCCATCTTAATCTATTGGCTTTTATGTATCTTACGATGTTTCCTTTCCCGAAGAGAGTCTCTATTTCATTGTTGTATCTGCTCCTCCATTCATTTGTCACGCTGTCCCTGCAAGGACCATATATAATTCGCAGGATTTTGCGTTCCCATACTAATAGCTTATTGATTTCTTTCTTTCTCAATGTCCATGTTTCACTTCCATATGTCACTGCTGGTCGTATTATGGTTTTGTACATTTGGATTTTGGCACGCCTTGAGAGAAGCTTTGACCTCATTAGATGTTGAATGGCAAAGAATGATTTATTCCCCGCCAGTATTCGTATTTCAACCTCCCGTTCTCCTGTGTTTTCACTGGTAATTGTTGCTCCTAGGTATTTGAATTCTTTGACCACCTCAAAATTATGATCGTTTATGGTAATGTTTTGTCTTATTCGCTGTCGTTCCTTTTTTGATACGACCATGTATTTAGTTTTTTCTTCGTTTATTTTCAGGCCTACGCTTAGCGTTGCTTCTTCAAAGTTCGATACTATATCCTTAACTTCCAGTGTTTCTGTGCTACTGCATCTACATCATCTGCAAATGCGAGAATAATCTTTGCTCCTCTGGTAGTTATGTCTGGTTTGACTCTGGTATAGATTTTTCGCATTGCGTATTCCAATGCTAGGTTAAATAGTAATGGAGACAGCGGGTCTCCCTGTCTGAGCCCGGTGCTTATGCCGAAAGCCTTTGAAGTTTTGCCTCCTATTCTAATTTGTGCAAAGGAATTGTTGACACACATTCGCGCAATCATGGTCAGCTTCTTTGGTACGCCTACTCCATCATTGCACTCCACAGTTTTAAGCGATCTATGGAATCATATGCTTGTTTGAAATCTATGAAGATCTGGTGTACTTCTTTATTATATTCCCAATACTTTTCTAGCATTTGTCTGATAGTAAATATTTGGTCGATTGTTGATCTTCCAGGCCTAAAGCCGCATTGGTAATCGCCAATAATTTCCTCTGTATATGGCAGTAATCGTTTTAGTACAACTGAAGCTAATATCTTATATGTAGTACCGATTAGTGAGATTCCCCTGTAGTTGACACATGTATCCTTTCTGCCTTTTTTATTTTCTTAAAGTGACGGAGTTAGAGGAAAGAAAACAATCTAGGGCAAGAATAAAACATTATATAACCCAGAGATAATAATAATCAAGTAATTTAAAAAAAAATCACAAAGAAATCATTCAAAGAAATATTCATTATAACAAGAGTTCCACATAAAAGGAATATCTTTTTCGGCGTGCTGCGGCTCCACCTAAGTAAACCATTTATCACGTATCATCTGTTTATGATACAATTAAATTTATCATTGCAGTTAAGTATTTCTTTAGGGATTAATTTGTGGGTTCCGAAATAATTTAAATTTAAAATTTCCTTGATTCACTTGCAAAGAACTTCACTTTTGTTTTCTTTTTTTTTTCTTTAACTTTTTTTGGTGAAATATAAAAAGGTCCCACAGGTATTGAACAGCCTTCTGTATTCTCCGCATGTTCAGTTCGTGGCGCAAGCCTGTCATGTCTACATTGAAAGTAGCTTCAGAAATTTTAACATGACCAATACTGACCTATGCTGCTACATTTATTAAATTACATAATAACTAAATCTGATACTTAACGTTTAGATTTCGTCACTTGAGAATATTCACTTGGGAATATTCATCTGTTAAGTTAGTCGCTTAAATCAGTAAATTGTTAGCAACTCGCGTATGGGGTTACCCGTGGAGTTTACTGTGTCATATCGGATCCAATAGACCAGTGCCTGATTTGACTACCCTCTTACCCCCATTGGATTTGTCATCACAGCAACAAATTAGTGTAGCCGTGCCAAGAGGAATTTCCTATGGACTTATAGTGCTGCGAAAGATAAGTTGTTTAACTGTTATCTATTTTTTGTTATAGGGTTTCGATCAATATAAATAGTGGGTTTTTGTTTTTTAAATCAGGTCTGGGTAAATAAAAATTATATAATTTTGATATATTGGGGAGGGAAATACATTTAAAGTGGTTTTTTTTTTCAAGAGAATATAAGGAGTACTGACCAAACTCACTTTTTGATATAATACAATTTTGATATATTAGGGGAGAGGAATACATTTCATGTGGTTTTAAATAGGATATAAGGAGTACGGAACAACTCACTTTTGATACATGATATAATTTTGATAGATTTATCATTTTGATATATTTCTAATTTTGATATCTTTATAATACTGTAACTGTTCATTCGCATAATTTTAACTTATTTATAGAATTAGTTTTTGCTAGGTGAGATACTTTTTCTTGTTTTTTGTTAACTGTAGATGTTCTTCGCTTGTATCTCATTCTAGTAGAACTAAGTTAAATTAAATTACTAACTTTTAGTGTAAGACTTTTGCTATCCTACGGACTATTCTTGGTTTTTACTAATATTTAATACTTTATTTGAGCCAATCGTAGTGACTATTTCCTTGTTGAGGGGTTATTAGGTCCTATTGTATCTTTACACCACCCACTACCACTGTTAGTAAGTTTTTGCATTATATGTTAATTGTTAATACATAGATATCTATATACATATTGTTTTCAATATATTTATCATTGGTATTTTGAGTTTTATTTCAGTTTCTATTTACCCATATATAATATAGCAAGACAAGATTAGTATTTTGTATTTCAGCTTCTTCTTCTCTACTTATCGTCCTCTTTATATAGATTTATTTCCAATAACATTCTTTAGTTGTATCACGTTTAATATTAACAGATCTCATTTCGTTTCTTATCCCATCAGTTCATTATCCTTGCTATCTGCTTTATATCTTAAAAGCCACGATTCAGTGTATTGAAGCTAGCCCGAATACTCACTTGAGATTTAGTGTCTCTTTGGCATTTTAAATTTGTTCCTCTGAGCTTAGCCATATTTTTAGTATTTTCGATTCACCTCTCTTCCAGTGCTTCTGAAATTTATAAGTTCTACGCTTCCTAAAATCTAATACTCCCGAAGTATTGAGGTTTCAATTTGGTAACAATATTCATCATCAAAAGAGTGGGCAAATATGTTTGTTGTTTTTTAGCTGCAAAAATTCCGAGATATCGACCGTTGCAGCGAAAAATTAACAGTTAAAGCTAGTCTCTGTGACAAATTTAGTTTAAAACTAATCGGTAGTGATAAAAAAGTTGACAATAAACAGGTGAATCAGGTAAGAACTATACAAAACAAACCAAACAAATCAATGAGGTTA